CTAAGGAGTTCTGCTGTCAACCCAAAGACAGGCAGTTTGAATCCACCAGCTGTTCCCTGAAAGATGGGCAGTCTCCTCCTATGTGACTGACAGCCTCTGAAAACCAAGTGGAGGGTCTGCTATGAGTTGGTTTCTACTTGATGGTCCACAGCAACAAAACAGTCAGTTGTCAAATATTACTAAGCATAGGCAATATCCTCTCTTATGATAGATGATAAAATCGAGAATGAGGAAACCCAGAACATGCAAGAGGGTAAAGGAAAGAAGTCAAACAAGACCATACCTCCCCAAGATGTGAAGATGTTACACTGAGTTATTCTAGCCAGCATGAGAAAAGCTTGAGAGAATGCTGGAAAGTAGGTGACTGAACTAAGCAAAGATGTTTACAATTTTTTTTATTTAAATTATATTAAATAGATTTAGAAATAGATCTAGTAACTTACTGCTTTGCTTTAAGTAAGAATTTTAATGAACACAATTATTAATGTTGCTTCATTTTAAAAAAGATGGTTTTGTTTTTGTTGCCAGAAGGGGAAAAAAGGAAGGCATAGTTTCACAATTAAATTACATATATGTATGTATGTGCATGTGTATACATTTATTTGTTTGTATACAGTAATTCATATATATGTGCTTCACTTATTTACTTTGTTTTATAGAACCTTTCATTTATATTGTCATACAATCATTCATATATATTGTATTCTATAAAATTACTATTGATCTATGCTTATTATGACCCCATCTTTTTAAGTCCCATTGAATCTTTCCTATTCCTTCACAAAGACACACACACACACACACACACACACACACACACACACACACACACTCCCATCTGCCCACTAAACTCTGCTATTCCTAGTGGTTTTCTCCGTTCCCCATTTTCTACCCCTTTCCTTTTCCCCCTTCCCCTTTTGGACATTTATACACATCTTACTAGCTAGCCTTTTATTTTCACAATAGTAGCTGTTGCTGTTATATGTCATTGAGTCACCTGCAACTCATAACAAACCTACGTACAAAAGCTCTGTACCCTGCGCTATTCTGAGCCAGTTTCACTGACTCTGGAACACCTACCTCAATTATCCCAGTTACTGTAGTAATCCATCTCATCCATGGTCTTTCTCTCCTGTGCTGTCCCTCCATTCTTCCAAGCATGATGTCATTTTCCAAAGACTGGTCCCTCCAGTATTTGTCCTTATGAGACTAAGTTAGTTCTGTCAGCATAATGCTCTCTAGACTCTCTTTGTGTTATATAATATTTTAGAAAATTGTTATTCCTTAGTGCTGGATGGTATTTCATTATTTGAATGTAGAAAGACCATATAACCCAACTATTCCACTGTTAGGAACGTACTCCAAGGAAAATTAGAACTGAGACACAAGCAAAGATATGTACATCTATGACCATAGCAGCATTATTCACAAGAAAATGGTAACAGCCCAATTTCCCATCAACAAATGAATGGATTGAGAAATTGTAGTACATTCACAATTAAATTCTTTAAATTGAGTACATTTAGCTTTAGAAAAATTTGGGACATTGTCCTAATTTTTTAGTTTGCCAGGGTCCCTTTGCCACTCTTGAGCTGGTACACAGATTAGTGTTTGTTCTTTTGGTAGCCCATGATATATTCAATATTCTTTGCCAACACCAGATCAATAGACAGCATTATGATAGAGGGGGGAACAAACCTTAAAGTTGTCAAGAATTTTACTTAGATCACAATAAACACCCATGGTATCAGCATTCAAAAAAAATCAAAAGACATGCTGCATTGGGAAAATTTGCTGTCAAAGACCTCTGCAAAAGTGCCAGCGGATCAGTTGAAAGACCAAGGTAGGCCTGACCCAAGCCATTCTATTTTCAATTGCTTCATATTCATATGAAATTTGGACAACTAATAAGGAGGACTGAAGAAAAACCAACACCTTTGAATTGGTATTGGTGAAGAATACTGACTATCCAGTGGACTGCCAAAAAACAAACAAATTTGCTTGGGTGGAGGAAGTACAACCAGGGTGCTTCTTAAAAGTAAGGAAAGGGAAATTTGGTCTCATATACTTTGGGCATGTTGTCAGGGAAAAGAACATCATGCCAGGAAACACGGAGGGCGAATGACAGAGAGGAAGACCCTCGAGGAGATGAATTGACATTGACACAGTGACTGGGCAATAATGGGCTTGAGCCTGGCCACACTTATAAGGATGGTGTAGGATAGGGTGAGGTTTTGATCTGTTTGTTCATAGTGTTGTTATGTGTTGTAGAGGACTCGACAGTACCTAACAACAATTGCAATCAGCATATAAACTTACCTGGTTTTACTGGAAGATTTTCAATGGGATTTTTTTTTATCTGTCTTTGTTTCTCTCTTAAGGAAAGACCAGTGAGGAAATGGAAAATATAATAACTCACACAGGTAATGTGAACATGTGTACTAATTTGTTCTTTTGAAGTCTGGTATTAAAAGCACAAGAAACTGAGGTGTGATAAAGGATGATAGGAAGAGGTTGGTAAGAAAGGTTTCAGGGGAAACACCAGCAGGTGGCGCTTGACTCCTCTGATCTGACTAAAAATGGTTTCCTTTTAGTCCTAAGAGTGTAATTCTGCCATCCTGAAAAGCAGCACCTCTCTGGAAGTTTGAATCCACCAACCATGCTGAAGGAGAAACATAGAGTGTGCGATTTACAGTCTTGGAAACTCTCCACTGGGTTTCCTTATTGGCCAGCACTAAGAAGACACCTAATAACAACAAAAGAGCCTCAGGAAATGGATTGACACAGCAGCTGTGACAATGGTGTTAAGCCCAACAGAGGCTGTGAGGAGTCAAAGGAGCAACCAAGTTTTCCCTTCAGCTGTATATGGTGTTGCTATAAATTAAAGCCAACTGGGTGACACACAGGATTCCCAAAGAAATTACCAGCCACTCTCAAGCCTTCCTTCTACTCCTGTCAGTTTGTGGTAATTTGTGTTTTGCTCAGATGCTGGGATTTCAAACACCAGCAGGGTCAACTACGGTGAACAAGTTTCAGTGGTGTTTTTAGATTAAATCTCTTTCCAAAACAACAATCTGCTGGATACCTTAAGGATTACAACAGAGCATTGTCTGACTTGCTTGCATTGGACACACCATCGGAGGGCATCAGTCGATGGGGGAGGACATTATGTCTGCTGAGAGGGCCAGTAAGGGGGATGGACTATCAGCACAATAGCCACAACGGGCTGGAACTGCTGAACATGAGTGGTGGCGACTCAAAGGCAACTAACAACTGCATAGAATCAGTGCAAGTGACATAGATGGTGGTAATACTTTAGTGCTGTATGTCTGTGCAGTTATAAATTCTAGGCTACACCTTGACTATCATCACATTTCTGCATTTTCACTTCAAACACAGACTGCCCTGCTCCACATGCTGTTACTTATTCCAGCCGGATTTCCCCAGGGCGAGTCACTTACAGTGAGTACTCAACTCCCTACAGTTGAAGTAAAAACTTGAAGAAAAGCTGTTGTCATGGGTCATGGATTTCACTCAAACTCAGGTCCACCCAATGAGCAACAACAGATCAAAATCCTGCCCTATCCAGCTCCAGGGTCATTATCTCTGCCTGCCTTAAGCCCTCTGTTGCAATCCCTGGGTCAGTCCACCTCCTGGAGTGTCCTCCTTCCTCTCTTTTGCTGACCCTTTCCCAAGCACGATGTCTTTTTTCTCAAGGATTGGCCTTTCTAACAACATATACAAAAGTAGTTCCACCATCCTTGCCTTTACCGAGAGCACCCTGGCTGAGTCCCCCAAGACAGTAGGATTTTTAGCAATCTACCATTTGGTCTGCCCTTATAGTGCCAGACTTTTAAAGCCCCCTCCCCTTGTGTGCAAGCTTTGACTTGGCAGAACATAAATTCACTAGAAGATAGTTCCATTCCCATGTTCCATTGGGACAAAGAGAAGTCATTAGGATACTATTGACAGTGCAGATAGACAAGTTCCAGATATGTCGGAGTTACTGGGTTGTCTGGCTCAAAGGCTTACTAACCTCTTCCCCTACCACTCAGCTCAGCCGTCTGCAACACTGTCTCTTTCACATGACAGTGCGTTTGTCCAACAATAGAAACTACCCACATTTTCAAAAGCGCTTCCTTCCTGGTGCTCAGCAAAGATTCTGCTCTACCCAATGTCTCTGTTCTGGAGCCGTCTTGGGGTATACAGGAGGAAGGCAATCCAACTCCATCTATGCAGAAGTGACCTTGACACCTTTCTTAATTTCTTTTGTAGTCTGGGGAGACAGTTTTTCTGCTCGTTTAAATCCTATCTTCCTGGGTTAACAAAATCATTTCCATATATGACCTATACCTGGGCTTTGCTCACGGGGGGCGCCCAAATGCCAGCTGTTTAGTAATAAATCTTCTTCCAAATGAAGGAGCCGACTCTACAACGGAAAAAAACGGCCCCAGGAGGAGTTGAGGGTCGAGCAGTAGGGGCTGAGCGCTGAACTGCGATAACCTCCCCGCCCCTCCCCGGCTTCCTCGCCATTTTGGGCCCCTCCAAAATCTTTAGTCTTAGAGGAAACGCAGAGGGGAGAAAAGAAAACGCGAAGAGGCGCCACGCCTTAGTCTATCTTCCCGCGTGCGCCTGCGGCCGGCTTCCAGGGGCGCAGCGAGCCGAGGACGCAGAGAACCCGCGGCAGAGGAAGGCTGGGCGCGGAGGCCGCGGAGGGAGGGCGGAGGAGAGGGCCGGCGGCGGAGGAGGGGAGGCCACCGGGAGGAGCGAGCGGGGCGGGAGGAGACACATGCGCGCTGCCGCCGCCGCAGTCCTCAGCTTCTCGGGGACAGGAAACCTTCCCGGCCGGCCACCTCTCCGTTCCTGCGCCCGCCTTCTGCCCGCGTCTCTCCGAGGGGCACTGCAGGGACGCCGCGGGTTGCACTCTGTCGTCCCGGGGAAAGCGGTGACCCCCCCCGCCGGAGCAACGGGGCGGGCTGGGGGGGCCCCCCCGGGAGAAGATGGCGACGCCGGGAAGCGAACCCCAGGCTTTCGCCCCTGCCCTGTCGGGGGCGATCCTGCACACACATCTCCATGCCCACCACCACTATCCTCACCATCCCCAGCACGGAGCCGCCGGGGCCAGCGGCGGGGCCGGAGCAGGGGGCGGCGGCGGCTTCAACCTGCCCTTGAATCGGGCGTTGGAGCGAGCCCTGGAGGAGGCAGCGAACTCCGGGGGGTTGAACCTCAGCGCCAGGAAATTGAAGGAATTTCCCCGGACCGCGGCCCCCGGCCATGACCTCTCGGACACGGTGCAGGCAGGTGAGAGGGCCTCGCCGCGAGGGGCAGGCGGCGCTGGGTGTGGGCAGTTGTCGCAGCCGGTGGGTGGCTGACCCCGCCCCAGGTGCCTCGCCCTCCAACGGCCACCCCGGGCAGGCCTCGGGAGGGGAGCGGAGCTGCACCTTGGCTTCCGGGGCCCGGCGCCCCGATCGGGGCGAGCCCCTGTGCGTTTCGCTGCTGCCCGTCCCGAACCCAGAAGGGAAACGCAGACAAAGGTGGCGCACCCCTGAGGGCACCACCCCGGGTGCCTGGAGGTCCCCTGAGCGACATTACAAGGGGCGGTGGCTGTCAGGAGGTGCCCATGCGCCCCCTTCCTGCGCCTGTGCGCGGAAGACACCGCCGAGATTGTGAGGATCCCCACGGGCGCTCGCGCTGCCCGCTGTCGCCAGCTCCCACGTGGTTCTGCTTAACCGAGGCTCGCTCGTCCTCAGTCACCTGATCCGTGCGTGGGCCCGGGAAGGGCTGGCATAGCATAGTAAAAGTCATTAAAACGAGTCGGTTTTCCGGTGAGAGCCCGGCAAGCTGTAACTCGAGCCAATGAGCAGCCAGCTTTTTCAAGTTATGTCATGTGTTGTTGACATATTTCCGAAATTTCTGTTTTCTCTTTGGCAGTTGGAGATACAGGAAGGAGGGTCGTGCGTTTGGGGCCTGGGCCTTGGGACCAGTACAGTATTGACTCGGTAGCTGACAGGTTTGGTTCAGTGTCCTGGAGAGAGTTTGAGTTAGGGCAAGCGTCTGCTGTCTGTCAGGGCAGTGGGCATCCGGATTTGGAACCGCTCCTCAGACTGTCATCACCTGTGGGCGGGTGTCAGGCCTGGCATTAACTTCATTGCAATGTTGTGGATGGTTTGAATCTCAGTTTAAACTTGCCAGCTTCTTGGGAGTGAGGACATGGGAGAGCAAGCGTTGGGTTTTGAGGGATCAGATTTGTAAAGCCCCCTCCCCTTTAGCTCAATAATTATCGAGAGTCAGGATGATACTTAGGCAGAGTTTTTACTTCACTGGAGTGCTCCAGGGTATGTTACGGTCATTAAACGTTGAGATTTGACTTAGGGATAGTCAGGAATTGGCGACAAGGAGGGACTTTCCAGAGCTGAGCTGTCAGCATCTGGGAGTCTCCTTTGATAGGACCAAGAATTAACCACATGTTCCCAAGTGGAAGTTATTTCAAGGAAACCCATTTATAAGCTTTTACTTCCCTTTTGTCATAGTGGACACTGTGAAATACAGAACAGTTGGACCTAAAGCAGAAAGTTAGAGGTGGTTTAAATAATACGTGTACATACATTCAGAAATGGAGCTCTCAGTGGCCTAGTGGGTAAGATATTGCACTGCCAACCCAAAGGTGAAAAGATTGAATCCACCATCTGCTCTGTGAGAGAAAGAGTGGCCTCCTATGCAATTTACTGACTCAGCACACCCATTGAAGAGTCAGTTCTGAGCTGATTCCAGCTGGATAGCAATGAAGTTTTTTTGAGATACGTTCAAATGGGAGACCGAGTTCTTTCTCTAGTTATTATTATTATGTGCCATCGAGTCACACTCAGCTCAGCGAGAGCTTCACTGTGTTTTCAGAGGCATTGAATTCCATCAGAGGACACTGCCTATCTTTCTCCCAAGAAACATCTTGTGGATTCAAACATGGGCCTTTGGGATGATAGTACAGCTCCTTAGGCAAATGTGCATTTCCAAAGTTAGGTGCGCTTGATGTGTCTGCTGTGTTGATGTTCCTTTGGGAAGACCAGTGCTTTACAGAGCAGGGATCACATCTTTCAGTTATGATCAGAGCTTGTGAAGTAGATCCTTTAAAGGATTTTTTCCCCCATCTATTTGCTTATGACCCTAGATTATGAGTTTTAATTATGAGCTTCTGCATATATTTAATGTTAAGAAAATTCCTATTAATTAAAACTAAGACCTCGAATGTCACTGTTGTTGGGACTCATAGTGACCTGTGACCCTCTGTAGGACAGAGTAGAGCATGCCCATAGTATTTCCTAAGCTTTACTCCCTAGAGGACTGGATCACCAGGCCTTTTCTCCTGTGGAGCCATTGTTGAGGGCCAGCCTAACCACTGCAGCACCCTTCGTCCCAAAAATGCAGGATTAATGGAGGGAAGATGTTACTAGACTTTTAGAATTGTAAGTTAACCAGTAAAGATAAAGTACATGTATCGTAACCAGTTACTGTAAATGAAATTTGATTCTCAGATGTTTTAAATATTTGCTTCTGCAAAAAATATCTTTGTCTCAGGTTAAAAGCGGAACATAAACCACATGTATTTCATTTGTTTATTCAAAAGAAATGTTTACTCTAGCACAGTCCCTTATTTGGGAGAGCAAAAGAAAAATAAACAAGGACTAAAATTCCCTCCAGTCTTCACGGTGTTGTAGTTTCTGTAAGAGCTTAGTAGATATAAAAATAGGAGGGGGAATATACACAATAAAGATACCGGTTTCTTTTTGGCTAATATTTTAAGAATATCTCTTAAAATAAGAATGGCATATGAAGACATTTAAAGACCTAAGATGCAGAATGCATTTTGTCATACATTTTATATGACATAGAAAGCTTTTTGTCAGTTATACTGTGTATATTTGCGTTCTAACTTTTCTGTGGAAGCCACCTATGGAAGTGTGCACTCTTACGCAATGTATCTTATCTGACCAAGTTGAAAATGAGGATCTAAAGAACCTTGGAGTTTCTAACCTCCTTAGTCCATGTTTAAACCATCAGTCAAGTTCCCTGCCCTGTATTTATTCATGTTGTCGTTGTTGTTGTTATGTGCCGTCGAGTCGCCTGCGACTCATAGCGACCCTATGTACAACAGCCCTAAACTCCGCTCTGTCCTGTGCCAATCGCACTGTCTCTGACACTCCCATCCCAATTATCCCAGTCACTGAATCAATCCACCTCATAGAGGGCCTTCCTCTCCTGCGCCGTCCCTCCACCCTCCCAAGCATGATGTCCCTCTCCAAGGACCGGTCTCTCCTCACTACATGTCCAAAGTAAGTTAGACGGAGCCTCAGAATCCTTGCCTCCAAGGAGCCACCCGGTTTAACCCTCTCCAGGACAAATCTATTTGTTTTCCTAGCAGTCCATGGTATTCCCAGTACTCTTCTCCAGCACCACAGCTCAAAGGCATCAGTTCTCCTTCTATCCTCCTTGGTCATTGTCCAACTCTCTGATGCATAACAGGTGATTGCGAAGACTATGGCCTGTATCAGACGCACCTTAGTCTCCAGAGAGACACCACTGCTCTTCAGCACTTTGGAGAGGTCCCTAACAGCAGACTTTCCCATGGCAATGCACCTTTTAATTTCCTGGTATTTATTCATAGAGTGAAAATTCTTCGGCCTTCCTTTTGAGCCCATCAGTTTACTTATGCTTGAAGCAAAGTAAGCTGTCTGGTTCTAGTCTTATGGAGCTTAGAAAGGGAGAGAAAGACTGTCCATGAAGGCATGGTTTTCAGGAGGCAAAGAAAGACTGGTTTTAAGAAATATGAACAAAATATAGCTACCGAGTCACGTATCTGTATTTCCTCAATTCAAGTCTCACTCAAGGCCCCATCGAGTCTTATTCTTAGTTACTGTTGAGTCAGCTCTATTTCCCAGTGGTCATGAAGTTATGATCATTATATTGTTTAGTCTTGAGCCATTGCACATTGACTAGTTTGATGATTCCGTGGTTTTGTCCAACCTAAGGGATTCATCTTCCAACACTACATCAGATAATATCTCCTGTAGTGATCTGTTGGGTTTTGATCAATTGATTTTTGTTAAAAGTAAATCACCAAGTCTTTCTTACAAGTTTGTCTTGTCTGGAAGCTCTGGTGAATCCAGTCCACCCTTGGTGACCTCGAAACTCTGGTACAGCTTCCAACATTATGTTGTTGTTAGGTGCTGTTGAGTCAAGTGCACCTTACAGTGATCCTGTGAGCAGCACATCAGAACCCTGTCCTGTCCTGGGCCATCCTATAATCTCTGACACACTTGAGCCCATTGTTGCAGCCACTGTGTGAGTCCATCACACGGAGAGCCTCCCTCTCTTTTACCACCTTTCCAAGCATGATGCTGCTCTCCAATAAAAAGCCCCTCTAGCATCACAGCAGCATGCAAGCACAAGATACAAATGCAACAAACCAAGAAACAGGTGGTGGGTTCTCTTTTTATTTGTTGTTATGTGCTGTCAAGTTGAAACCGACACCTGACTGACCCTCCAACAGGCCTTCAGAAGCTATAAATCACATGGAAAGAGATTGCCTGTCTTCCTTTTGCGGAGCAGCTGGTAGATTTGAACTGTGTGCCTTTTTGGTTGGCAGCGCAGCTGTTTACCACTAAGCCAGCCGAGCTCTCTATGTATTTAGTAGGTACCTGTGAGCCAACTATGACTCATAGTGACTATGAACAACAGAAAGGAACCTTGCCCTATTCTGAACTATCTTTATGATCTCTGATCGCTTTCTGCTGATTGTTACAGTCGCACGTTGTCAGCCCATCTTGTTGAAGTATCCCTCTCTTTTCTCTAACCGTCAACCTTTTCCGACATGTTGTCTTTTTCCAAGGACTAGTTCCTTCTGACAACTTGCTCCAAGTATATGAGATGAAGTTTCACCATCCTTGTCTTTAAGGAGCACCCTTGTTGCTCTTCCTCCAAGACAGATTTGTTTTATGTTCATGGGATATTTAATACCACAGTTCACAGACATTTTATTCTGTCATCCTTCTTCATGGCCCAACTGTCAGATGCATACGAAGCAACTGAAAATATTATAGCTTGGGTCAGTTTTTAAATGGACACCCTTGTTTGACTTAAGCTTCATCCCTAGGATTAGGTTCATGGTAGATTTGAAGAATATCTAAAAACCATAGCTTCAGGGGTTCCAGTGGTCTGTATCAGACCAGTACATCAGGTCTTTATTATGATCTTAGATTTTATTTTGTATTTTTCTCGCCTGTGTTGAGGACCTTCTTTTGGGATCC